ATAGATATGAAAATTGAGACCACCATGGTGGTCGGAATCGCAACTCATAATGTGATACGGATATTGAGACCAACTGTCTGAAAAGTATCTATCAGCAAGAGTTCAGATGGGCCAGTCTCAACATAGCGACGACTATCAAAGTTTGCTCTGGTTGACTGAAATATTGTTGTTCGAAAACTAAATTCATATTCGAGCTGCGTGTCCCTTCGAGTGAGTATACACGCTCACATGTGATTTAATGTGACGCCTTCACCTGAAAGTCTCATTAATTCCGATTTCGGTACTCAGGCATGAAACAACGTGAGGTCACTCTCGAGGTGCGGGTAATTATCACTCCGGCCTGAAATAAAATTTAGAAAAAAGAAAACTAAAAGTAAAACGCCTTTCAGTTTTATGTCCCGAGCGTCGCGGGGCCGCCTCTCGCATTGCTGCCAGCAAAAATTAAAGTACTTGGTATGCATGGGTACTTATGCCCAGCATGTCGGGATTGACAGCACACTGATTCCAAGAGTCGCTTCCGTCGCTCCGTCTCTCTCGCACCTACTTGGGACGCCCCATGAGTGCGAGTGAGACAGAGCGACGAAAACGTCTCTCGGAATCAGTGTGCTGGGCCGTATGGCTGGGAAGACGGCGAGGCGGGGCCATGCGCAGCACCGCGCAGCGGACTGATTCCGAGAGTCGCTTTCGTCGCTCTGTCTCTCTCGCACCTACGCGGGACGCCCCGTGAGTGCGAGAAGGACAGAGCGACGAAAACGACTCTCGGAATCAGTCTGCAGCACCGGGCACGTCTCGGCAAGGATTTCAGTTTCCTCTCGCCTCCACCGCCGCGCCGTGCCGCTCGGCTCGCAGCGCCATGCGCTTGATTCGCCCTCGGAGCGAGACAGGTGTCGGGTCGACGAGGACGAGACCAAGTGTCGCGGTTGATCGCCGCAGCATACTGAAAAACCAAACGGTCTAGACCCCCGTACAAAAATAGGCAGATCCTATATGTCTCGACCGTAGACATCCTTGAGACATCGTGGAGGCGTTTTGCAGTCTTTCCAGAGACAAACGGAGACGACCTGGAGCCGTAATGGAGCCTGAATGGAGACTGAATGGAGACATCCTCGAGAGACCGGTGTATGTCTCCAGTTGCGTCTCGAGATAGTCTCTATAACGATCCGTCCTAGAAACACCGTGGAGACACCGTGGAGTCACAACTTGGTGGCTCCGTTGGAGACATCCTGGAGACCGTTTCGAAGCCACGAAACCACAATGACGCGGCCGGTGAGATTAGACCCACCGACCCAAGACCCCACGCCTTCAGGCTAGGCTAGAGTCATGTCTGACGTCGGAGTCCACTCGGCCCATACCCCTAAACGCATGGGCGTGTTTTGATGATATCCTTGCAAGCAAATTTAGCCTTGCACTCACAGTGCACTCCGTATAGGTGCGAGAGAGACAGAGCGACGAAAGCGACTCTCGGAATCAGTCTGCAGGCTGCTGCACGGCGCGCTCTGTCTCTCTCGCGGCGCGGCGGCCGTGCGGGGCTTGGTGCCGGGCGCCGCACGAGTGCAAACATGGCCAAAGCCGTTCGAGTATTCTTGGGCCACAGCAATGGGCAAGCGTTTATTGGCGCGAGCCCTAAATCTCAGCTCTGTGCCCTGTTCTCACACCATTCGTCCTGAAGTCAAAAATCCAAAAAGCCGGCCCGTGACGCACGCTCTGCAGATCGTCCCGAGCCAGAATTCCTGCACTCACAGGCATCCGTATGGTGCGAGAGAGACAGAGCGACGAAAGCGACTCTCGGAATCGGTCGCGCTGCCCTGCGACGCTACTGTTCTCTCGGTGCCGTTTGGATGCGTTCTCCCGCCACGTGTGCGAGCGAGACATCGCGCCGCGACGGCAGCCCGTTCGGCCGCTATCTGTGGGCCATCGAGCACGTCGGGTCCAGCGGTGTTATCTGGCGCGGACGCGCCGCCCTAAATCTACCGCCTTCCCTCGTGCTCCCTTCGTTCTCACACTCGGTCGCTCGTCCTGTACAGTGCACACACAATCCAAAAAGCCGGGCCCGTCCCGGACCGCACGCTGCCTGCAGACTCGTCCCGAGCCCGTCTCTCTCGCACTCGCGGGGCGTCCCGTACGGGTGCGAGAGAGACAGAGCGACGGGAAACGACTCTCGGAATCGGTCCCGCGCTGCCGCTTGCGACGCTTACGCTGTTTCGTCGTCGTGTTGCCGTTTTGGATGCGATATCTCACCCCCACGTCGTCCCAGCCCCCCCCCCCCTTTTACCCCTTCCCTCCATAACCCCCCCCCCCCCCCTCCCGCGACGATGCCTTCACGAGCTCCTGCTCCCGTGCCGAGGTGTCACGAGGCCGGTGGACGTGCGTGGCCCGGGTTCGAATCCCGGTGGCGGCGGGAACGGCCTCCGCAACGCTAAGACATAACTATTGACTTCACTACACCTAAAAATAAATAACATATTGGATAACAAGAAAAAAAGAAACATGTTTTCTTTCAAAAACTATGTTTTTCCTCCAAATATTTTTATTTTATGAGAAAAATTGAATCAACAAATTTATCTTGGAGCAGGACCAGAAAAAGAAAAACAATCAAGAAACTTTTTTTTTCCGGGTGTATGTGAAAAAAAGTTCATGTCACCTTCTGTCTGCTCAAAGTACTTCGCAGGCGTGACGAGCCTATTTCCTTTGAAAGGTCTAAAATATCTTTTGCAACGTTTTCAGGGTTCTCTGTAGATCAGGGCCACCATGTGGATTACCAACGCATCCAAGTTACGGATGTGAAGCCACCTCTGGGCTGCCAGTTGGAAACCCTGACACTGTGGCAAAAAGGTACGAAAAATTGTGTCATTTTTTTTTGCCAGGTTTCTCCGTAGCCCTCTTATTAATATTCTCCGTAGGCTCTCACAGTATTCTCCGTACGGCCGTACAGTTCTCCGTGGGACCTGGAAGACTGTACGTATAGTCCTACGGAGATCACTGTAAGGTCCTACGGAGAATACTGTGTGGTCCTACGGAAAATACTGTAAGATCCTACGGAGAATATTGACAAGGGGGCTACGGACATAATTTTCCGTAGCTTTTTGCCACAGCGGACTTGATCTTGAAATTTTTCGCGACGGCGCGTTGCGTCGAAAAGACGTGTCACGGCTAGTACCGGCTCGGCGTGTGACCGGCCGTGTTCGGCACTGCACACTGATTCCGAGAGTCGTTTTCGTCGCTCTGTCTCTCTCGCACTCATGGGGCGTTCCCTATGGGTGGGAGAGAGACAGAGCGACGAAACCGACTCTCGGAATCAGTCCGCTGTGAATGGTGCGCTCGGGGTGATTATCGTTTCGCACTCGGACGCGTTTCGCGAATGCTTCGCCAACCCTGGCAGCTGCAGACTGATTCCGAGAGTCGTTTTCGCCCCTCGCTTTCTCTCTTACCCTCATGGGCACCCCATATGTGCGAGAGAGACAGAGAGATGAAAACTACTTTCGGAGTCGGTCTACTGCAGTGTACTCGGCGGACGAGCCCCTCCAGCCTGCCTCCAGCCCGCCTCCGAGTTCACCGTGTCCCTCCTCCCGTGTGTCCCCTCAGCTGGCCCTCCACAAACACCTCTGTTGTGTGGATGCTGGATACTCCTGGCCAGTATTGGCGTACGCCACGGCCACTAAAGAAGTCTCTCTCTCATTCTCTCTCTCTCTCTCTCTCTCTCTCTCTCTCTGCGGTGGCAGGGCTCACCCGGCCCCATAGCAGCTTGACTCCGAGCCCCGTGTGACTCGACCAATGGATTCCTCGTTCAGAGAGCAATCCATTGGTGAGGTGACACGTTGGGTTCGAGTCTCATTCGGCGACTCTGGAGCTCAAAACGCGTCTAGAATTCCGGCCGCCTCCACCGGTCTTCTGGCTCGCACTGAATCATGCAGACTGCATCGCCCTTCCCCCTGAAAACGCAGCGGAAAGAATGTCTCGAACGCATCGTCATGTCAGAGTGACACCTTCCGTGCCGCGTCCGCATGGCGCCTAAAACGCACGTCTCAAAACTGCCCTCTATGTTTACTTTCCTCCTCGTCTACCTGCGCCGTGATGTCGCTCACTCTGCAGACTGATGGTCGTTTTCGTCGCTCTGTCTCTCTCGCACGCATCGAGCGTGCCGTATGGGTGCGCGGGAGACAGAGCGACGAAAACGACTCTCGGAATCAGTGTGCTGTCAAAACAGAGCGCGTTCTCGAGGACCCCCGATGACGGTCATTACCTTACCTTGTTTTCGCAGACGTGATTTCTCCCAGGAAAGATTCTGCCGTGTTGTCATTCCGGAGAGTGCTCCGGCCGGGCCCGGCGTTCAAGTCTCCTCGCAATCACTGGGCTCGTCGTGTAAATCGCTGGAAGTGGTGTGACCCTGCCTCCGCTGGGCACCAGCAGACTGATTCCGAGAGTCGTCTTCGTCGCTCTGTCTCTCTCGCACCTATAAGCGGCGACGCCCCGCGAGTGCGAGAGAGACAGAGCGACGAAAACGACCCTCGGAATCTGTGACGCCTAGGCCGGTAAGTGACGCGGGAACCCGTGTGAGGTACGGTGATGTGGCGGCCGGTGTCACTACACCGCAGTGACACGGCCGCTCCCAGCCTCAGGGGGCGGAGCTGCAGCGCCAGCAGTCTGACTCCGGGAGTCGTTTTCGTCGCTCCGCCTCTCTCGCACCTATACGGCACGCCGCATGAGTGCGAGAGAGACGGAGACGGCTCTCGGAGTCAGTCTGCAGCAGCGCCCCGGCCACCGTGGGAAAATTAATTACCGGACGTCTTTCCCTTTCTCTTTCCCTCTCGCCGCTCTCAACAGTGTATCTTCCGCGAGCTTTCCGAGTGACTTACAGTGTTGTGAGCTCGCCCGTCTCCAGCCGTGTTCTTGACCCCAGCGGTAGCCGTGCGTGTAGGCGCGAAATGTGGGGAGGGACGAGGAGGAGGAAGAAAACGCAGTTTTGATTTATAAAAACAGATTTGTTTTAATAAACGTGACAATTGATTTACCATGACAGAATCTACTGGACACTAGGAACAACGTAGCAATAAGTACATTCATAAAATCTAATGGAAGACAGTGACCTTAAACACAAAAGCAATAGTTCTATTTTGTACTAGGGTGGGGAGGAACCGACCTAATGTTCATGGCACATAAAATATTCGGTCATGCTAAAAGAAACTGAGTTGAAAGCATCATTTTGTTTTCCTTTAATTAATTGCACTAATTGACTCTTTTGATAGCCAGGCGTGAATTTGAAATAAGTCACTGGGAGAGCAATGTTTTTTAACAAACAAGCAAACAATTAAGCATTCATTCAAGAGATTGTTACTAAAATCACAATGATATCCACCACACACATTCTACATTCTCAATAATTTAATAATAAATTGGAATCAGTACTTCATACTTACATTATTTCATTTACTTAAAATACCTAAGCAACAAATACATTTTACATGCTCTTGTGCATTCTCTAAATCACTCAGAATATGGCAAGGACATAATGAAATTAATATCATATCGCAAAGGAAAACCTTGGCAAACAATAACAAAAAAAACGGTATGTACAATGGCAGCCAGGAAGTGTACAACATTTAAGTAGGGATGATATACACATTAAAAGTTGTTGCTCTTTTGACTAGCGCGAAGCAGAACGCATTGTTTGTGAAGAATCCACTAAAAAATTAGGATTTTTGCACACTTTCTGGTTAAACGTGTCATAAATTATATAAATTATAATCTTAAATACATAATTACACTATTTAAAAATTTAATCAGACTATAATACAGCAGCGTAAAACAAAAATGAACAAGAAATAATCTTGGCCAAAGATAAACTTCATAATAATACTGCTCAGTTCATTTAAAAAAATACGAAGGGTCGTTACAGGAACGAATTTCTGTTCACCGAGTTAAGAAATTTAGCTGCACGGAACGTCGACTTTCTCGGTCAGGTTGATGGGCCGGTTTCGATTATTCAGACTAGTTATAAACACAACGTCAAACGTGAATTGATAGACGGAGCTTTCAATTGAATCGAAGCATTCGTGTGGTAACTACGGCGCTGCCGTTAAAATTAGCACATTGGAGCGAAATAAATATCAGTTCATTTGAGTACGGCGATCGTACCTCTTGCTGCTCTTAGGAGCACGGATCACTACTTACAGAATCACATATCACCCTATTAACACATGCTTAAACCTTAGACTGTAGCCTTGATTTAGGAACATCATTTTTCGTTTAAATTAGAAAGATCAGGACAATTAATTACAAAAGCCCTTGTCTGGGCAGGCCTCAAAACAACCTAATATCTATACACTGGCTTTGGTTGCGTAGCCAGGCGTCTCTCTTTAGCCTGCATGCTTTCCAGGCTGAGCCGCCGTTCGAAAGTCCAGCCAACGGATCCAGTCCGCGCGTTCGACAGAGACACCCAGCACTCACAGCGTTCCACTTCAGCGACCGGGCCCCGAGCACCAGCAAAACGCCATTGTAAAAAAAAAAAATTTAAAAAATCCCTAAGTCTTCCCACGAAAATACGCAATATTTACAGGACCCCTCTGTACAGGGCGTGGGTGGGTCGTGGCGCGGTCGCTGGGGTGTCCCGCTGCCTCCAGCTCGGTCCGCGGGTAGGGCTGTGCGATATCTCGATGTATCGAGCTCGATTCGATATCACCCCGATATCGAAAGAATATGTGGAAATGTCGCGATCGATGTGCATCCATGTCGCGATAACTGTCGCTCTCGACACCCTCGATATTTCTCGATATGTGACGATACGACATGTCGGCCCCTGGTTAGAATACGATATCACATTCGTTTGAACGTGGATCAACATTCTAACCAATACGACGTCACATCCTTCAAAGCCTCCGGGTCAGTATCGCGGTCCTATCGCGTCCAAGGGGACGCCCTACAGGCACGTGTGCACGATCTTCTTGACCTTGCACAGCTTGCACTTGACCTCGCAGCACCAGTGGAAGGTGCAGGCGCAGCGCTCCACGACGTGCAGCTCCTCGGTGCGGTAGCCGCGGCCGCAGCACATGAGGTCGCAGCCGTCCACGCCGATGGACGTGTCGTTGCACTGGCGGCCGTGCGTGCCCTGGATGCCGAGCCGCGGGTGCCGGTCGCAGAAGTCGGGCGACTGCTCCAGGTACACGAGGTCCTTGGGGCCGGGCGGCTTGTGCTCCGGGTTGTACGGCTTGAGCTTGAAGCTGTACCGGTTCCGGCGCGCGCCGTTGCCGCCGCCCTGGTGGCCCTGGCCGCGGTGGGGCGCGATGGGCGGCATGTTGGGCCGCGCGTTGGCGCCCCGGTCCTCGCGGCTCACCGGCCGGCTGGCCACGTTGCTGAGGTGCGCCTTGCTCACCCGGTTGCTCACCCCCGCGTTGGTGGAGCCCGAGTTGCTGACCAGCACCCGCGACGCGCCGTCGAAGCGGTCCTTGAGGTTGTCGCTGACGACGCGCAGGCTGGGCAGCCGCATCCAGCACGTCCGCACCGTGCACGACCCGGACATGCCGTGGCACTTGCACTCCTGCCGCATCTCGGACACCACGTGCTGCAACAGAGAGGAAAGCATCAAGTTAGCGTAGTCGGTTAGGGCGGCGGCTGCGGAGCAGCATGTGTGGGTTCGAGTCTCGGTCGGGGTGTGAATTTTTTTTAACGTTTCGGTTGGCGTGGTTTTAAATCCTCGTCAGGGACGGGGGATTTTTTGACGCATCGGTGGGCCCGGGTTCGAGTCCCGTTGGGGGAATTAATTTTTTTCTGAGGTATCGGTTATCCCGGACGAGCCCACCGATAAGGAGCCCGGCCTTAATGAAGCCATCAACTCGTAAACCGCGAAGCTCATTAGCCGCCGGAAGCAACACTGTTGCAGGAAGCGGCTTGTTGCCTTTCTTTCTTTCTTTCTTTCTTTCTTTCTTTCTTTCTTTCTTTCTTTCTTTCTTTCTTTCTTTCTTTCTTTCTTTCTTTCTTTCTTTCTTTCTTTCTTTCTTTCTTTTACCCGTTCCTTAAATGTACAGTGGCGGTAAGTTACAGAAATGGGTAGTAGCGGAATGAGAGGCGAAAATTGTCACAGTGAATGTCACAAGTGATACCTCTTCTACCTCAATTCAGTATAGAAGACCGACCCATGCGGTTTGACATTCCATTAGCACAGTGACCTGGATGCGGGAGGGAAGGTTAGGAGTTTGTATCCCCATGGCACTAAGAAAGTCATCTGACACCTGAAAGTTAGACCAGAAGCCATTCTTGTCTTCCTGGAGGCCGAAAAAAACGTCCCCGCCCCCCTGGATCCAGAGAGGGGGGGGAAGGACAATTGCCCCTACCTTGACCCCTAGATAGCGGCCTGAAAGGTAGGCAAAAAGTAACACTTTATCCCTGTAAGTAGGCAAAACTGCTACTTTCACCCCCCTCAGGCCGTAGCTGGATCCACCACCGCTCTGGCTCCACCACTGGCTCGGCGTTCGGACACACGTGCGGCCGGCCGACGTAAGACCCTAGAAGGGCCCCGAAACGGGCGCCGCCAGCCCCGACACCTGGCTGTCTCTGTCGCGCGCCCACGGCACGCCGCGCGCGAGAGCGAGAGAGACACAGCGCCACCTACCGCAGAGGCGCCAAATTGCAGCCGGCGCACCTAAAAGGGGGTATTAAGGCATCGATTGGCCGCCGGGGCGGCGTGCTGTCGGCGTGCCGGCCGGACATATCGGACATGCCTGGCTCCGCCGGGCCGCTGGGCCCCTCCGCGCAGTGGGCCAGAAGACCGGTGGAGGCGGCCCAAATCCCGAACGCGTTTTGAGCTCCAGAGTCGCTAAATTGGACTCGGACCGAACGTGTGACCCCACCAATGGATTGCTCTCCGAACGAGGAATCCATTGGTGGGGTCACACGTTCGGTTCGAGTCCTGCTTAGCGACTCTAGAGCTCAAAACGCGTCTGCAGTTTTGGCCGCCTCCGCCGGTCTTCTGGCCCACTGTGGGGCCGTGTGGCGTGGCGTGGCACGGCGCGGCACTGCCCCGCTCCGCTGCGGGGGGCGGCGGCCGGCCCGTCCAAACATATATACAGTCATAGATAGACACGAACACACGCCGCTCTGCCTGTACAGCCCCGGCGGACTGGCTCCGCCGAGAGTCACGCGCTCGCGTCGCTCTGTCTCGCTCGCACCCACGGCGCGTCCCGTGCGGGTGCGACAGAGACAGAGCGAAGGAGACGACTCTCGGCGTCAGTCTGCTGCCCTTCCTGCTTCTCGCTGCTTCCATCCTCCTCCCCCCCCCCCCCTTTTCACCCACCCCTTCTTCCTCTTCCCAAGCGAAGTTCCTCTCGACCCGGCGAGTGCCAACTTAACGGAAATTCAAATTTCGACAATGGAAGTACTTTCACGTCGTTTAAACGACACCCAAAATTCAGACTTTTGTAGCGTTTTTTTGCCAGTTAGCCCACGTCATCCGAACCAGATCCGTGCAACGTTTCCCGGATTCGCGATTCACAGTGCGGTGGACCTGCTCCGGTCTTGCGCGCTTTGTTCGATTAGTCGTGGGCGACTCGCTGCCGCGCACAGTGGGCCAGTAGACCGGTGGGAGCGGCAAAAGTCTAAAGCTTTTTAGCTCCGAGGTCACTAAATGGGGCTCGAACCGTACGTTTGACCCCACCAATGGATTGCTCTCCGAATGAGGAATCCATTGGTGGGGTCACACGTTCGGTTCGAGTCCTGTTTCGCGACTCGGGCGCTCAAAACACGTCTAGAGTTTTCGCCGCCTCCACCGGTGTTCTGGCCCACTGTGTCTCGGCCGCGTTTCACGGCCCGACGCGCAGCCGGCAAACCAACGGCAACTTCACCCGTCCGAACCAAACGCGCGGAGCGGTCGCTCTGTCTCCCTCGCACTCACGGGACGGGCCGGTCGCGGTGCGAGAGAGACAGAGCGACGAGTGAGCGCCGTTCGGAATCACTCTGCCGAGGAGGATGAGGATGTGCGGACTGATGTAGCAGAAGGGGGAGGGGGGGTAGAGATTTCCGCGAAAATCGTTTGCGAGCCACACGCCACGCCTCGGGCGGGGCGCGCGACGACGCCCAGTCGGACGCGCCACGCGAGTCTTGCTTTTTGTGTGACCTCCGTGGTGTGTGTGTGAATGTAGGGGGGGGGGGGGGGGTTGCGTAAATAGGTCACGTCATAGAGACGGCACTGCCACGAATAATCCGACCGACATCCGCGCTCAGCGCTGAGTGATCGTACGAAAATCCTGTCTCTCTCTCTGCTCTCTCTCTCTCTCTCTCTCTCTCTCTCTCTCTCTCTCTCTCTCTCTCTCTCTCTCTCTCTCTTGCACTCATGGAACGCGTTAAGTAAAGGCGCAAGAGGAATCAGCCAAACAGTTTGCCAAACGTCGTCGACAACGACACAACGCGTCCAGAACGCGATAAGATTCGCCGGCAGGCCGATGCCACGCATTGCTCTCCCTCGCACTGCTGGCTCCATCCTCCTCGCACTCGAGGCGCGTCCCCTCAGGGTGCGAGAGAGACAGAGCGTCGTGGCATTCTGCCCGTGACAGAGAGGCGCGTTTCCACTCCTCGCGTCCCATGAATATCCAGGAAATAGATCACCCGCTGGCCCCATTCAGACTCGGACGAGGAGGCGCGACATAAATCCGGTGTCACTGTGTCACTGGCGCGCGTCCGTCACGTCAAAGACACGTAACAGACACGTCAAAGATGGTAACAGACACGTCACAGATGGTCACAGACACGTCACAGATGGTCACAGACACGTCACAGATGGTAGCAGACACGTCAAAGACCGTCACAGACACGTCAAAGACCGTCACAGACACGTCAAAGACCGTCACAGACACGTCAAAGATCGTCACAGACACGCCAAAGATCGTCACAGACACGTCCAAGATCGTCACAGACACGTCTAAGATCGTCACAAGTCAAAGATGGTCACGGACACTTCAAAACGATCGTCACAGATACGTCAAAGACACGTCACGAACATGTCTTATCCGTAGCCGTCGAGTGAACTACTGGACGGCAACAACCACGTGTCCAACGCGGATTGGCAGCGTGACAATGATGCTTGAGCTGGCGTTCCCCGGTGACCTATCCAGGGAGAAGAATACCCAATGATGTCATAATAGAGTGATAATGAACAATTTTTTCGCAAAATTTGGTTCATTTTGAAAATAAAATGACAACGCTTGACGTTTGACATCGTTTTGACTACAGCTGTTCGTCTTCCGGGTACGCACGTCAAGTGTCGTCCCTCGCGACGCAGAGCAAAGATGAGGGAAACCTCCGAGGGGGCACACGCGGAGCAGGCGAGAGGGGAGAGGGGGGTGGGGGGCGCAGTGGGCAGTGAGGAGGTGAGAGGGAAAACATTCCGAAATACACGGCGCGCCTGTATTTATTTGTTCTGGCAAACCTATAATTCATGGATTATGAGAGAAAGCAGTAGCAGCAGGCGCGGAGAGGAGATGTGTGTTGTTGGTGCGCGTTTTGCCACACGCTTCCCGCAATAGACCGGCCTCGGCGCCTCGGCCCGGCGGCCTGATCATGACCCCGTCTAGGCTGGCCTAGGCTGCCCGCTACACTGCAGGGCATGCCCTCCGCAGTTTCCACACACTCGAGGTGCCAAAGGGACTGGGAATATAGTTAGATGTGGGGAAAAGTCACGCAGCTGTATCTTTACCTAACCAAATCGAAATCACGATACGTCATGGCTCGAGTCTATGATTCGAATTAGCAACATACGACGTCCACGCCCACGGCTGACTACGAATTTGTTTGTGGCTTCCATTCCAACTTGAGGTAGGGCATGATCAAAGATCCCCCCCCCCCCTCCCCCTACGAAAGCACGACCTTGGCAAACCGAATTCCCCCGACCGAACCGCCACACACGCCACACCGCCCCCGAACTAGACAGGAAACTACAGGTGGGAAAAGAACAAAAACTACGGCCATTTTCCCCATGAATGTAGAGAATTTTTTTTGCAAGACTTATAGATTGTGCACGGTGAAAGTAAGTGCCTTAGATTCCCACGCCCACCTGGGTAAAGGGATCTACACACTTAAAACCTTACGAAGTAACTTATTTTGAGCATACATTGCACAAACTCATTTATTTTGTCATGCGAAGAAATAGTTCTTAAATTGCGAAGTTCTTTGTAAGCTTATGCATGCTCAAAATACTTTGTTGTAACAAGCTGCTTTCCTTTGTATGGCCTAAAATAGTTCCTAAGGATTCCTCAGAGTATATTGCAGTGCGCCACACCCAGAAAAATGATTTCTTGATTTTTGTCAGAAAAATAATCTTGACACAAGAAAACTTTTCTTGTTTCAAGAAACAAAAATTGGACCAAAAAAAATTTTCTTGCAAAAAACCAAGAAAAGTTAATTTTTTCTTGATCCAAGATGTCTTTTTTTTGGGGTGCAGGGAATGCCAGGCGTTTCTTTTGCCGAGTATTTTTTTTTCAACGTATGTATTGCTCTGAGACTCACCGCTCTGCCCGCCTCGTTGTTGTGCAGGTTCATCTTCTCTCGCAGCGACCGGCCGCGCTCGCCCGTGTCCACGAACTCCCTGGAGAAGCGGAAGCCGTAGCCGATGTTGTCGGAGCAGCCGCCCCACTCCCAGTCGCGCACGCCGCGGCCGGGCACGCCGGGCGGGCCCACCGCCGAGTTGGACACCAGCGAGTGCATGTGCAGGCCCGCGCCGCCCACGCCCACGCCCATGCCCATGGGGCTGCCCATGGCCCGTTTGGCGCAGGCGGGCCTTGGCGTTGCCCAGGTGCTCCCCGGCACCCCGCGGCCGCCTGGTGGCCCTGCCGTCGCACGTGATAAACCGTCTGCGGCCCCCTCGGACACGCCCGCGCCAGGCGTAGGGGCCGCCCAACCTGCGGACCTACCCTTTCAGGGGGGCGTAGAATGAAGACCGTCTGGCAACCTGCGGACACAAGAGGGGACACGTTCAGATTGGGGTTCGTCGAGGCGTAGATGAAGACCGTCTGGCAACCTGCGGACACTAGAGGGGACACGTTCAGATTGGGGTTCGTCGAGGCGCAGATGGAGGCCGTCTTGCGACCTGATGACACATAACGAGATATACTCAGATTGGGGTTCGTCGAGGCGCGGATGGAGGCCGTCTTGCGACCTGAGGACACCTGAGGGGCCACATTCAGATTGGGGTTGGTCCTGGCGCCGATACTGGCCGTCTCAAGGCAATCCGCGCCCTGGGCGACATATTCAGATTGGGTTCGTATAGGCGCTAGCAACATGGGTTCATTCATATTGGGATTCGTGGGCGAGAACGAAATATAGAAGTTACAAAACAACATCATCATCACCACCACCACCACCTCAACAACAACACTGAGAATCCAAACGCTGAGTAGCGTAATCGGTGCAATGTCTTCCCATTCCCATGCATTAGCATAGGGCATTTTCGGCACGCATTGCACCTAAGGTGCAATATGGCTATCGCATGGCACGTATGGTGCGATATCTCAAGGCATTGCACCACACGTGCTATATTCATAGCCTTTCAAATCTCAGTGAACGCTGGCAAAGGCTTATTCGGATTAAAAAGTGTACGCCATGGCTAGGTGCTGATGAAGATATTCCAAAGAGGCTATAGAGACTCATTCGGATTGGGGTCAGTCGCCTCATGACGCTGACGTACGGGGACACATGAGGCAACGGCAGATTCAGATTGGGGTTCGTCGCGGCGCTGGGCACGAAATCGCGTGCGAGCTGTGCGGCCTGGCGGCCACGCGAGCTCATACGACGCGGCGACGGGGCGCAGACATCCATAAACCACGAAACAATTTGTACAGTGGCGCAAGACGAAGAGCAGCAACCATAACGTCGAGCAACTGTAACGTCTACCAACTGTATAAACGTCAAGCAACTACAACGTGCGCACTCTAAATGTTCTACAGTGAAGATTCTCCGGCGAAAATGTTCCATATTATGGTGGTGCAGCAGACCTCGTAACATATGAGAATCGAGAATTCACTGTACCTTACAGATATTTTGACGAATTTTGTCGGTATTATGGAGAAAATCCCCACCAACCATAATATGTTGGTGCATAGCCTTTCACCGTAGGACATTTACAGTGCAACGTCTAAATTTCTCATGTAAATCGCATCTGGCTGCCGATTTGGGGAAAATGGCGGCGCACGTGCGGCGGCGAACCCGTTACCTCAATTAGGCGCGACGACAACAACAACACCAACCAAAAAAAAAAACAAAACACGGCAAACCGGAAACAAACAAAAGGGCGCGTCGATCAAAACAGCGCGGCCCGCCCCCGTGTCGGCTTACGCGGGCTTACGCAGCGGACCGATTCCGAGAGTCGTCCTCTTCGCTCTGTCTCTCTCGCACCCACACGGGGCGCCCCACGAGTGCGAGAGAGACAGAGCGATGACTCTCGGAATGAGTCCGCAGACGCACGCAGCGTACGCAGTGCGCGCGGTTCGGGATTGGCCGAGTGGTTGCACGACGGCACCCCGACAAATTATAGGTTTGTATCGAGAGCCCTGAATGAATGCATCCGCCTCTCTGCTCCGGGTTTCCGGTTCCTCGCGAGAGGGTTCATTTTTTAAAACCTCTTTTTGGTGTCGCTCTTATTTCCTCTGCACTCGCAATGAAGGGACAGGGGATTAGCTTGTTTTTTTTTTATTTTTATTTATTTATTTACTCGGATCGCGACGAAGCGCTTCGGAAGCGCGCCTAACCGCACACATCCCGCGAGTCCCTTTTGTTGGCGCGACACGCCGACAAACCGCAGCCCAGCCGCAAAGGGGCGGGCCGCCTCTCTCTCTCTCTCTCTCTCTCTCTCTCTCTCTCTCTCTCTCTCTCTTCCCCCTCTCCCCCCCCGCCCCCCCCTCTCTCCCTCCCTCCCTCACCCCCCCCCTCTCTCTCTCTCTCTTCTCTTTCCCCCTCTCTCTCTCCCCCTCTCTCTCTCTCTCTCTCTCACACACACACACACACACACCGCCCAGCGCGTGCGCTTATGTCTGGAGGACGGCACGCACATCCTCATCATCAGCCTCCGCGTCTCCGCGTCGAATGCTCCAAACCCAATGCACGCGAGATACCGTTTCGCGCAGAGTCCAGGCAGTGGCCGAAATTGCTAAAGTTTTACCAAATTTCAAAGCCCGTAAATGCCGCAGTTTCCGAAATACGGGCTTCCTTTCGTTAGAGGTGGCCAAAACTCTAGACGCGTTTTGGGCTCCAGAGTCGCTAAACAGGACTCAAACCCAACGTGTGACCCCACCAATGGATTCCTCGTTCGGAGAGCAGTCCATTGGTGGGGTCACACGTTCGGTTCCGAGTCCCATTTAGCGACTCTGGAGCTCAAAACGCGTCTTTATAAAATTTCGGCCGCCTCCACCGGTCTTCCGGCCCACTGTGCGTCGGGTCAGGAGCAGGTCCTTCCCATCTCTGACCTCCGCCCCGCCACGCGTCGGTCGGGCTCGGCCCATCAACACCGCCGCCCCGGAGTGCCGGCCGTGAGAGGCCAGGCCGCCACCCGCGAGGCCCGGCCGGGACACTGCCAGGCCCGGGCGAGGACGCACACGCTTTTATGCCCTTCATGTTTCTCGGCTTCATTCATAACTCGGGACTGAGATTTTATTGCGTGTAGCACACTCGGTAATGCCCAAGATGAATTCTGAAGCGACGCGGCGGACTGATTCCGAGAGTCGTCTCTGTCTCTCTCGCACCCACGGGGCGGTCTTTATGGGCGCGAGAGAGACACAGCGACCACTCTCGGATTCAGCCTGCAGAGGCCGGCCGGCCCGGACAGCCCGGACGACAGTCGCTGCCGCGCTGCGCCGCTCCGCGCTGCCGTGTGTATGCCAGTGTATGCCCGTACCGCTGTCATCGTCCACGCAGCGCCCGGCTCGGCTCCGCTCCGACCGGCCTCCGCCGGGGCTCGGCTGGGCCTCGGCTCGACTCGGCATCACGACTCAGGAGAAATGTATGGGAAGGTAGGCGGCTGTATGGGCCTTTGGGCTCTACCTCCCAACGGGCAGCTCAGGAGGAGATGGATATTAAAAGGAGTTATGTCTCAATTTCAACTTTGGGAGCGGGCGCGGCGGGGAGGGGCACATGAATGGGTGTCAGAGGAGGGTCTCTGTCGGAGACATGATGCTAGACACCGGCCGGGCGGCCACAGCCCGCGGTTTCCCCCCCCCCCCCCCCCCCTTCCTCAGTTCATTCACAAGAGTCCCACAAAGGCTGCGACCACCCTCTCAAAAAGGCGCTGTAATCCCGGCTTTCAGGACTCGTAGTGTCGTCGCTCCGTCTCTCTCGCACTCATGGGGCGTCCCGTGAAGGCGCAAGAGAGACAGAGCGACAGAGGCCGTCCCTTCAAATTGCGGTTGAATCTTCGATGATAAACATAACTTTTTGGCGTCTGTATCAATAACGCGCTCAATGGGTGGCCCCGCCTCGTCACACCGACAACGTCACGGATTTCGAAAAAATGCAAATGCCTGGGGCGAGGCCGTGCCGCACAGTGGGCCAGAAGACCGGCGGAGGCGGACGAAACTCTGGACGCGTTTTGAGCTCCAGAGTCGCTAAGCAGGCCTCGAACCGAACGTGTGACCCCATCAATGGATTGCTCTCCGAACGAGGAATCCATTAGTGGGGTCACACGTTCGTTTCGAGGCCTGTTTAGCGACTCTGCAGCTCAAAACGCGTCCAGAGTTTTGTCCGCCTCCACCGGTCTTCTGGCCCACTGTGTGCCGCTGCCAGGAAGCAAGATTTCAAAATGGGACTGGAGAAAACAGACGCTCATCGGACATACTTGCCTCCGGCGCGTTACCCTAATCAAACGGACACACGGTAAACCGTCGCTAGGCGTTTTGTAAGACGCCAAGCCCGGCTAGCGAATGTGCCGGCACTGTCACATTGTGTCAGGTCGAGTAGGCGGAATTTTGTATCACTTTTGCTAGGTCTACCACATTTTTAAGAAGAACCGCTTATCTTCACGGGACCTCGTAACTGCTGCCAGTGGGCGGCTGTAGGCGACTGTGGTAACTCCAGTAGGCGATTTCGCCTAGAGCGCCCCGCCGCGCCGTCGCCCTCTGGCGGGACGCTCCCCAACTACGGATTCCTCCCCGCTCCAGCCTGCTCCAGCGTCTCTCTCCCTGAAGCGCGCGCGTCACTCACTCGTCATGTATTCACGGTCTCATCGAAAAACTATTTGAAGTGAACAACTTACTGGCCATAGGTGGCCTACTTCGCAAGGCTTGAGAGCACAAAGGATGGGCAGGTAAGTGAAAAACTCGTAGTATTCGTTTTATAAAAATAAAACCTTGAAAGGCGAAAAATCTTGTGAAATGTATAGAAGCGTACTTTGGCCTCGGTCCTGTTTCTTCCTATTTTGCTTAATATACCCTTCAATTTGCCAAAATCTGAATTTTTAATCCGAGAGCCTTTGCTTTGGTTTTAGAAAATGGTTTACCTTTGATAAATAAGTTTGCAACTAACCTGAAAAGTAAACATTCTGAAAACGGGAAAACTAACCTTTACTCTAGCCAGGATAATGTAGTTTGTCCTCAAATATTTTTTAAATACATGAGCGGGCAGAAGGCTTCCTATCTTATCTTGTTAGCAATATGTTATTAACTTTACTCTCATTTTATATAAATTGAGCTGACTTTTGTCTTTGATGTTTGATTGTAGTTTATTTTTCTTTTTCTAGGCTTTCGATGAACGAAGTCATGAAACTTGGCCTTCGATAAGGATACTGAACACCAGTTTAATGTTATCACTTGCCGTAGCAGCTACCAAACAATGAAAATTTTTGTTTCATGGAATCAAATTGGCCCAGAGAACCTACAACTTTCCATCTTCTTATTTTGTGGGGTATATTAAAAACATGTAAGTACAAGTTGCTCTCGTTTATAAAAATTGAGCTGACTTTTGTCTTTGGGGTTTGACTGTAAATTTTTTTTCCTTGTTCTAGGCTTCTGATGAAGAGAAGTCACGAAACTTGGCCTTCGATTAGGATCTGAACACCAGTTCATTGTTTTCTCTTGCCGCAGCGGCAATCAAACATAGAAATAAAATTTTCTTGGATTCAAATTTGCCCAGACAACCTACAACAATCCATTTTTTTATTTTTGGGGTATTCAAGCAAAATGTAAGTACAAGTTTCTTTCATTTTATAAAAATTGTGCTGACTTTTGTCTTTTGTGTTTGAGTGTAATTTATTTTTCTTATTCTAGACTTCCGATCAAGAGAAGTCAGGAAACTTGGCCTTCGATAAGGATACTGAACACCAGTTTACTGTTTTCACTTGCCGCAGCAGCTACCAACTTTCATGGAATCAAATTGGCCCAGACAACCTACAACTTTCCATCTTATTTTGTGGTCTATTTTAGCAAAATGTAAGTACAAGTTGCTCTCATTTTTTATAAATTGAGCTAACTTCTGCTTTTGGTGTTCGATTGAAAATTTTTTTTCCTTGTTCTAGGGTTCCGATGAAGAGGAGTCATTTAAAAATAGAGGGACAAAATTTAAGTGTTAAAATTATTTTGATGTCAATAAACCTAATTTTTTTTAAATTTTCCCGTTTACTTCCTCTTTTGTATCCTGAGCCAATGTACCAACTCAGCCAGCCTGGTCACGTGAACAGGACTGCCCACCCGGCTTGCCGGGGGACGGCCCGCCCGACTGCACATCATTGCCTGCCCGACTAGGCGAAATGTGGTAGAGGCTGCTGGCAGAAACGCCAGCTCCGACCAGCGCGCGGGAGGACGGCCGGGCGGTATGAAAAATTCAGACTGGCGACTAGGCGGTTTTCCAAACCGCCTAGTCGAGTTGGACATCCACTAGGCGCCAATGTGCTACTGTGACTTACCAGTCATGTAACAATTATGGCTAGGCGAAACCGCCTAGCGACGGTTTACCGTGCACGGACCGACCGGGATAGACAGACCTCGCCTTGACACGTCCACCCATTCACACATTGAATGGTATTTATTTAAAACTCGGTGCAATTGATATTTCTAATTGATCAATTAATCCTCCTTCCTCCGACGACCGACTTTTCGATACGCGTCCGTCCACCCGCGCACACTGCTATAGATTCACCCCCACCCCTTTTTGGGGGCCCCTTTTTGAAGACGAATTTCCCCGGTTCTCCGGCGCACCCAACCTCAAACCCATAAAGAACCCCTTTTTAAATTTTTTTTTCTGTCAGAGAAGAAGGAGGGGGAGGAGGAAGAGGAGGAGAGCTTGGAGACGAGGGAGGGGGGAAGGGGAGGGGAAGGTAGGCCCGGGGCCATCTGGAATCTTGTAAGCAACATGCACATCAATATTATCGGGCACGGTGTGTGGACGGTACGCCACACGGCAAGCCGAGCGCGGGGCACAGCCACATTCACATTCAAATTGGCAACAAGCGGGCCATGATTAGGGCAATGACGTCCTTCCGGATGGATGACAAACGCCAATACGAATAACAATGCTCTGAAAAGTATGCATAAGCGGTGTGACCAGGCCACTCCTAACCTCGCAACCTGGGCGATTTCGAATCTCACACATACACCAATACCACACACACACACACACACACACACACACACACACACCACACACACACACACACACACACACACGCACACACACGGAGTGAGTTGTTCCCTTTTCAGCAGGGTGGCGACGTAATACAGACGGGGCAATCAATAGCACATCAGGCTACTTAAACCATGTAGCTGTGAGGTGATGAGAAGGCAGCTCAGCGGGGAGGCCCCACTGAGCCCCCATGCCCCGGCACCGGCCTCGTGCCGCCCACACACACACACACACAGTATACATATACACCTGGTGAATGAGGTGCGGACTTGTGAGGTCCGGGTTCGAGGGTCGACCTCCCGAGCGGGGGGTGCGAGGGGGATGGGGGATGCAGGACCCCCGCTGCTGGCCAGATAGATATACCCGATGTCGAACAGCGGGCCAAAGGAAGCGTCCACAATGGAGACGTGTGGGGGTGACCAATTACTTATGTATCAAGGTGACAATGCCCGCCTGGCCGGGCGGGCCGGGCAGGTGGACCGAGCCCTCGCAGATCTGGACCGTTCGACATCCTTTTCCGAATCATTGACGCTTCGAGCGCTGCTGCACGCCGCTGCGCTGCTGTGCACGTCCCCGGTGCAGCACAGTGGGCCAGAAGACCGGTGGAGGCGGCCTAAACTCTAGACGCGTTTTGAGCTCCAGAGTCGCTAAACAGGGCTCGAACCGAGCGCGTGACCCCACCAATGGATTCCTCCCCGAACGAGGAATCCATTGGTGGGGTCACACGTTCGGTTCGAGTCCTGCTTAGCGACTCTAGAGCTCAAAACGCGTCTGCAGTTTTGGCCGCCTCCACCGGTCTTCTGGCCCACTGTGTGCAGCCACGGTTTCACAAAAAAAAAGAGAGAAGAGAGGAGTTCGATTTGCGAGGCCCACTTGAACACGCTGCCTTTGAGCTGCACCGTCACTTGGCCTGATAAGTCATCCTCCCCTCTGTCTGCCGCCCCCCCCCCCCCTTCTCTCTCTCTGCTAATCAGCGACACATCAAAGGGACGCGCTACCCCGCCCATTGAAGCCACCTGCCTGCTCAACAGCAGAAAAGCCCCCGCAGTTACACTGCCAAAATGTCAGCCCGCTGGTGTCGGCGGTTCGATCCCCGCCGCCACCGGCCGAGGCCGCTGCCGCTATGCGAGCTTCTTCCTGCTGTTTTTATTAAGTTTAGCGCGAGCAGAGGGAATATAATGCCATGGAGCCGTCTACTCCGAGGCGGTTCCAGGAAAACGCGACGCGAGGCAACGTCCGCGGCGGGATTGGCGATGACAAATCAGGCGAGGAGCGTGGAAAAGGGAGGGGGACTATCTGGAACGCCGCAATGCAGGCCGATCATCTTTGATCACTCGACCTCTCTCTCTCTCTCTCTCTCTCTCTCTCTCTCTCTCTCTCTCCGTGCGTCCGCGACCCCACATCGCGCCCACCACCACCGCGTCTCTCTTTCTATCTGTTCACAGCGGGACGGCGCGCGGGGCGAATGAAAACGAAAACGTCTTCATCACACACACACACACACACACACAGAGCTCTCACTCGCATCACTAATAACTCCGAGAGAGCCTTCTCCTTCTTCTCCTTCTCCGAATCACTCGAACGATCACGGCATCCCTCCGTGTTCCATACCGCTCTCGTTCGTGTTGTTTCGAGCAGGAGCACACACCAAATCCTGCGGTATCACAGAGAGAGAGAGAGAAAAAAAAAAAAAAGGGGGGGGGGGAAGAGAGAGAAGGGAAGGGAAAATAAAAAAGGGGGAAAGGGAAGAAACAGAGAAGAAAAGAAAAACCTTCAAATCGAAAAAAAACCCAAACCTTCTTTTCTTCCCTTTCCCCTTCTTTTTTTCTTTTTTTTTTAAACATTTTCCCCCCTGATCTTCATTCCACATAATCGCTCCTTCTTTCTGCATGCTGCGTCGGCGAGGGCGCGGTGGGGATCTGCAACAAAGTCATCGCGCTGTCCGCGACGCGGGGCCGCCTGGCGGGGCGTCGCTCTAGGAGGCGCGCGCCGCTTTGGCTCTGGGCACGGCCGTCGCGCGGCCCTCTAGTAGTATACGGGCCGCCCCGGGTGGGTCCACTGTGGGTCCGAGTGATTCATGCCACAATAAAGGCGCCTCTGCTGTTAGAGCGCGCATAAATTTTTCTCCGAAGTGTCAAATAATTTGATAATTACGAGTGGAAGGTGAGCGAATCCAATGAGGAATGCCGTCGGCCCGAGCGTCAGCCCCGCCTCTCTCTCTCTCTCTCTCTCTCTCTCTCTCTCCTCTCTCTCTCTCTCTCTGTGTGTGTGTGTGTGTGTGTGTGTGTGACTCAGGCGTGGAAAAGGACGGTGCAGACTTGAAACCAAAGGAAGGCCACGCGCACTTAGCGAAATGACTCACGTCAGAGTGAATCGAAAAATGATTTCGCAGTAAGTTCAATCACCCATCGTCGTCCGCCGCCTGCGCCCCCCTCCCCCACAAAACACACACACACACACACACACACACACACACCACACATACGTCACGATGTGCAGACGAACCATGACCCTCAGACAGTGTGTCATCCATTTTGGAAAGGATTTGACTCCCATCGCTGCTCGGTCCCGCTAACATTACGCAAGGCGGAGGGACGTGATCGTCAGGGACTCGGCACTGTTAAAATTTTGCTTGCTACTTGATGACAATTTCAAGGGTAATGTTGTCGAGTTTTTCTTGCGAGAATGTCGCGAAAACAACTGATGGCATTGTTGTTGTCAGGCCCGCAAGAATGAAAGCTCTGATGGTGAAAAAAATGTCAACAATCAAAATTACGACATTGTTGTCATTCGATGCAAGTGATGGAAATATCATCCGCTAGAATCTCACAAAGAGACAACAAGAAACGTCCGCAGTAGGATACCGTGGGAAAACGGCAGGTTCCGTTTCGCATCGCGAGCGAGCATCGAGGTCGAGTGCGACAAATCGAATGCGGAATCGAGAGTCAGAAATCGAATCGATAGGCCATATCGCGTCGCAATTAGCGCACCATTACAGTGTGCTGGCTCCCGCGGCCTCGCCCCCCCCCCCCCGCCCCGCCCCGCCGACGGCCGGTTCGAGATCTCGCTCGAATATAATCGAAGCCACCCGGCAGGGGACGCCGTCCGCTGTGCCGTGCGAACACAGACCTGCAGTCCGATTCCGCTGCTCGTCGCTCCGTCCCTCTCGCACGCATGGAGTGCGGCGTAGGGGAGCGACAAGGACAGAGCGACAACGCAGAGAGAAGAAGCGAGTTCTAGACGCACAATGCGCGGGGCATATGCAAATGCAGCCCCTTGTCAACGCGCTGCCCTTATCGGAGCGAATCGCTAGAGAACCTCACGAAACTTTGCGTCGCCGGACAGTAATAATCTTGTGTGGAAGGAAAACCACATTTTTGTCGTAACGAATGCGAGCAAATCCGGAGGGATTGCACTATTGTCGAACGCGTGCGCGAAAAAGAAAGAGCCAATGATAGGTGTCCGCGACGGAGGAATGTCGATAGTTCAGGCTGCATTCCGCGATTCGTGGTCGACTGGTCAGGGCCGTCTCAGAAGTGACGCAAGGACACACCGTAAAAAATTGTTTTCACTTTGTGACAGTAACGTTTTTATCACTGAGAAATAATGACAAGTTTACCATAAATTGATGACATTTCATCAAAGCTCCCGTTCACTTGCTTTGGGCCCTGCTCGTGCGACTGTACACTCGATTCGAACCCTCTTCGTGCGACTGTACACTCGATTCGGGCCCTGATCGTGCGACTGTACACGCGATTCGGGTCCTCTTCGTGCGACTGTACACTCGATTCGGGCCCTCTCCGTGTGACTGTACACGCGATTCGGGCCCTCTTCGTGCGACTGTACACGCGATTCAGGCCCTATTCGTGCGACTGTACACGCGATTCGGACCCTGCTCGCGCGACTGTACACTCGCTTCGGGCCCTGCTCGTGCGTTTCTCATGCTTCGCGGCCAGGTGGACC